TGCGGTGCTGATGTCATAGCAGTGAAAGACAGAAAAGGAAAACCAATTGATGGTAAAAAATATATATCGTCATCAAGTAGGTTTCAAAGAAGTAATAGAAAATTCTAAACGATTTTTTTTCAGCCTGAAAGACATTTTCTCACAGTGTTTTAGAATTGATAAATCATTACGAATTCGACAATATTTCAGTATAAATATATATCCATTAATACAATAAATAGAATTTGCCATCTCTTTCTTTGAAATATATATTTTATTAATATGCATTTATTTCTCTCGCTTTGATTGTCAGCCACAACTTACCCAATCTCAAAGAGGACAAATAAATACCTGATTAATAATATCTGGTAACTTGAACCCTAATCCCTGTTTTCATATATGCATCATGCAAAACAGCCACTTGTATTAGATACTATGACAATGGAATCATTTGCATTTACCTGTCCAAAGATTGTCAAAAACGGTTATATTACTTCAAATAAAACAATAAAACTTCCATAAGTCTTTCGATTTCAGTAGTCGGTAAATGTAAAATAATACACAGTGTTATTCAAATGAATCTTTTCCTCATGAACGAATATATCGAGGAGGTAGAAAATAATAAATGGTTGCCACAGTTTCTGATCTTCTTTTAAAATGTTCGTAATGTATTTTCACAAAACTATGAATGCATTGAATATTACTCCCATATGTGGGCTTGTGCTTCTGCTAAATATTTAGAGATTCTTGATAAGATTCAAAGAAAAATCAGCAATACTGTCTGTGCTGGCATGTCATTTCGGCTACCGTCACTTTCTCAACATAGATCCCCTGTGGTTTTCTATAAATATTTTCATAATAATTGTTGTGATGAACTTTCATCTTTGGAATCTTGCGTTTACAAATATAATCGTAGGACTTGATTGGCAGATAGGTCCCATCATTTTATATTTGAAATTGCTAAATATAACCATAATTTCTATACTACCAAATTTTGATCTCGTGTTTCTAACTTCTGGATCTCTCTTCCGGCTTCTTGATTTCCAGTCTTCAGAAATTAAACGGAAATGTGAATCGTTGTCTTCTTAATTTCTATTCTTTTATTGTTCACGTTCCTTAATAATTACCGTCCTTGGTATGACGATAAACTGCAATCGCGTTCTGGATAAACTACATCCAGCAGCAAGGCCTCTGATCAGGAGGTTTTGAGGAGCGTGGAACCACCACTTAATTGCTGGTGTTCCCAGGTCCACCCTGACCCGTGCTGGTAGCACCTGTCAGGGTCCCAGCTATGGGCAAATAGTTAAGACTCATATTACATTCGCATCCTGGGTATGACGATAAACTACATCCGTGTCCTGGGTAAGACGATAAACTACGTCCAACAGCAAGGCCTCTGATAATATGTTTTTGAAAAAATAATGTTGCCAGCTGTATGTTTTTGAAAGAAAAAAAACATATTACCAGCTATAAGTTTTTGAAAAATAATATTACAAGCTATACGTTTTTTTAAAAAGTTATATTACCAGGTATACGTTTTGCAAAAAATAATATAACCAGCTATAGATTTTTGATAAAAAAAATATTAACAGAAATGGATTTTTCACAAAACAAACATATTACCAGGAAAAATGTTGTTGGCATTAAATGACCCATTGAGGTTGATATTCCGTAAAACAAAATAAACAAAACAAACAAACTTAATAATTATTTTCTCATATTCTGGTACATTAAGCAAACACGTGCGTTTTAATGGTTTCAGTGTTTTGCTTGAGATGAAATGACTAAAATAAAATTAATTTGTAAGAACATTTCCAAAGATTAGCATATGTGGCACCATTTACGAGGCAGAAAAGGAAAAGAAAGAAAAGAAGGCAGAAAGAAAGGCGAGACGAATCGTCTGTGATAAGCAGAACACACACACGGCTAAGAGACAATGAATATATTGATAAGTAACAAATGGCGAAAGGGTGTCATTACAATGACAGGGAATTTCTGAGTAAAAAGAAAGGGAAAGAAAGAAAGAATCAGATGTGTTTTGATAACGGCTGTGTTATCTAGGGGTACGTAAACAAACTGCTGGTCGACTGGCCAAAGAAAAATTCAAATGAAAATGTTATTTCGATAAGTGACGAAAAACAGGCAACTAAAAGGTACTTTGGATAGATATGGAAAAATTAATCGCGACACACACGAAGTAACCACACTGACCGATTTTCTTGCCGCAGAACATCTTTATGCCTGCGATAATAAAATTATGTTATCAAGAAATGTTCGCCAAAGAAAAGTCCAATTGAAAACGTTAATTTTGATAATTGACAAAACACAGGTGTAACCACAGGACTTTGGATAGATATGGAAAAATTAATCGCGACACACACGAAGTAACTACATTGACCGATTTTCTTGCCGCAGAACATCTTTGGCCTGCGATAATAAAATTATTTTATCAGAAATATGTACCGAAAGAAAATGAATGAAGACCTAGAAGTGTGTTTTCTTCTTTCTTCGAGGCGACAGACTGACTGAAACTTTGGAGATGTTTCTTTTTTGAGACCGTGTTAAGAAGACCACCCATTCTGATAATTAGCGATAAAATACCTGACAAAAACCACGTGTAGAACAAGAGTTATGACCCGTTTGCGGCTAGAAAAATGATAACGGCGATTAAGAGGAAGAAAAGGGAAAGAGAAGAGATATTTTTTTTAGTTAAGCAAGATATTTTTTTCTTCCTGAAACAAAACCGCGGATTCGTCCACGCCCGACTAAGACATCATTGGTCAAGTGGTGATCACGTGACGCACGAAGGAGGCTGTCGACGCCTCATCCAGGGTATAGGTATGAGAAGCTGCTACGAAGAAGTGGGGAGGACAGTTCACGCCCTCTGAAGTATGGTGAGAAGAGTGGAAAATCCCTAACCAGAAATAAAAGAGGTGGATATGTATTTAGAATTATCGAGGAAATCCCGACGCCGACAGACCCACCCCGGTTTTGGTCGGCGTCCATAAAAGCGAAGCCCAACGAGCAGAAATCAGTTGAGTTCCAGAGTTGAGTTCCCGGAGTTCCAGGAATTCAGTTCCCAGAGTCAGTCTCCAGTTGAAGCCGCCTCGCAGGTAGCTGACCAAGATTCAGGCAAATTCTGGACTCCTCTTCAGCCCAAGAACAATTATTTTTAGAGCGACTTAGATCCAGACCACCGAAATAAGTTTTTTTCGACTTTCGTCCAAAGACACACCGAAACACCAATTTCTTAGAGAGCAAACAACTTGAAGCGTTAAAACTTGCCTAACGGAAAACGACGTGTCACAATCCACAGAACGGGTCGGGAGATAGATGCAGTCCTATGTATCGAACAACTAGACATAAAGTTTGTTTCCTTTTTCTTTGATACTTTGAACTTTTTGAGTTTTCATTTTCTTTTCTTTTATGCATATTTGTGTGGTATCACCCCCATTGAACTCAGTTTGCATTACGGCCCCGACTACTGATTGATCTCGTCTTCCTAAGATCAATTCACAACGTGGGTAGGCAGACTGGAGATCAATGAATTTACCTTGGTAACCAGTCGTTGGAAGCGAGTTGGGAACGACTAGGCTGATATCAAATCTAACCAGATTCCCACCCGAATCACAAAAGGTTATAACGTCACATTTGGGTGCCGCGACCGATACCAAGCCAGTTGGTCGTCATAGGACGAGACAACACGACTGACGCGACAGGCGGACGTCACGTTTGGAGCAGCGACACCCGAACGGAGCAGCGAGGAGCGAACAGCTGGCGCCGCGGCGAGGACGTCACAATTGGTGCTGTTTGGGGACGTCACAACTGGTGCCGTGGTAGATCAGGATAGAACGTCACAGTTGGCGCTGCGACCAGGGGACGACGTCATAATATATATATATATATATATATATATGCTAAGCATATTTATATTATAAATTTTAATATCATGATTAAAAAAAAAACAATCTTTCCGATTCATAATTACTTGCTTTGGAGAGTATCATTCACATGACGTATTGAAGGAAAGGGTAGTTTAAAAAACTTATACAAACTGAAAAATAACAATATGAAAGCTAGAGATTCAAGCGATATTTACAGCGGCAAATACGGACACAGTTGTTGATAGCTATGATCAACCAAACGACATTTTGTATATATAAAAACAGAAGATAAATGAAGTACAGGTACAAAAATGTATCTATTTATAACTCACAAATGCAAGCAATTTCTTTTCCCCGTGAATGACTGAGTTTTGGCATTTCGTTGGCAGTACCAATTCCATTTCTCAGAACATGAAACAATACAAATTGCTTCCAGTATCAGGCTTTGTTGCACCGGAAGCGGAAATTGTTGTGATTGTATGGAATACTGCGAAACAAATATTTCATGTCAGAATGAAACCACAGACGACCAATAAATTCATTCTAAGTAGCAAAACCCCGGACGTGACAATTTTGTTTATTGCTAGAGAACATTAAGTAAACTTTGAATATCATATTTTGGCAGGTCGAAATGCATATGGGTCATGACGTCATCCATGTGATAACGACTGTCGTTATTTTGTTGATGCGTTTAATGTTACAAACCAAAAAAGAGTACTTCAAGTAACAGAAATATGGGTCTACAGAAGGATACTTAGAATTCCATGAACTGAACATTTGAGCAACGACGAAATTTTACAGAAACTAATAGCACAAAGAACATTTATGCATTGCAACTGAAAGTAATGGTAGAAATTTCTAGGACAATTTATGTGGAAAGAGGACCTAGCAAATTTGACATTCACAAGGCATACTGAATTGGGACAGAGGAAAATGACGTATGACGTACATATCGAGGTTGTGTCAATAGCTGACAGGTAATCGTGGAGAGCCAGGACCGTCCACGTTCAAAGCAGTAGATCATGATTATAATGATGGACGTGCTTCTATAAATAGATTGGAGAACAGGAATTAGGGGAGGTAGCAAAAGGACAATTTAAAAAAAAAGTTTAGGGAATTGTGGAAAGACATGATCGCTCACTTCCTGAAGATGAAAAAAAGAAAGAAAGAAAGAAAGAAAGAAGAAAGCCATGGACGCCTACTTCCCGAAGAAGAAAGAAAAAAAAAAAAACAGAGACAAAGAAAGAAAGAAGTAAGCCATGATCGCCCACTTCCTGTAGAAGAAGAAGAAGAAATAAAAATAAAGAAAGAATGAAAGCGGTGATCGCGCATTTCCTGAAGATGAAGAAGAAAAAAGAAAGAAAGAAAGAAGAAAGCAGCATCGTTCACTTCCTGAAGAAGAAGAAAGATAGAAAGAAAGAAAGAAGAAAGAAAACGATGATCGCCTATAACCTGAAGAAGAAACAAACAAAGAAGTAAGCCATGATCGCCCACTTCCTGTAGAAGAAGAAGAAGAAATAAATAAAGAAAGAATGAAAGCGGTGATCGCGCATTTCCTGAAGATGAAGGAGAAGAAAAAAGAAAGAAAGAAAGAAAGAAGAAAGCAGCATCGTTCACTTCCTGAAGAAGAAGAAAGATAGAAAGAAAGAAAGAAAAAAGAAAACGATGATCGCCTATAACCTGAAGAAGAAACAAACAAAGAAGTAAGCCATGATCGCCCACTTCCTGTAGAAGAAGAAGAAGAAATAAATAAAGAAAGAATGAAAGCGGTGATCGCGCATTTCCTGAAGATGAAGGAGAAGAAAAAAGAAAGAAAGAAAGAAGAAAACAGCATCGTTCACTTCCTGAAGAAGAAGAAAGATAGAAAGAAAGAAAGAAGAAAGAAAACGATGATCGCCTATAACCTGAAGAAGAAACAAACAAAGAAGTAAGACATGATCGCCCACTTCCTGTAGAAGAAGAAGAAGAAAGAAAGAAAGAAAGAATGAAAGCGGTGATCGCGCATTTCCTGAAGATGAAGGAGAAGAAAAAAGAAAGAAAGAAAGAAGAAAGCAGCATCGTTCACTTCCTGAAGAAGAAGAAAGATAGAAAGAAAGAAAGAAGAAAGAAAACGATGATCGCCTATAACCTGAAGAAGAAACAAACAAAGAAGTAAGACATGATCGCCCACTTCCTGTAGAAGAAGAAGAAGAAAGAAAGAAAGAGAGCCATGATCGCGCACTTCCTGAAGAAGGAAAATAATAATAATAATAATAAGAAGAAGAAGAAGAAGAAGAAGAAAAACAAACAAACAAAAAAGAAAAAAAGAAAAAAATTGAAGGAAGCCAGGATCGCCCACTCTCTGAAGAAGAAGAAGAAGAAGAAGTAGAAAGAAAGAAAAAAGAAAGAAAGAAAACCATTATCACCTACAACCTGAGGAAGAAAGAAACAAACAAAGAAGTAAGACATTAACGCCCACTTCCTGCAGAAGAATAAGAAGAAAGAAAGAAAACCATGATCGCGCACTTCCTGAAGAAGACGAAGAAGAAAGAAAGAAAGAAAGAAAGAAAGAAGGAAAGAAAGAAAGAAGAAAGCCAGGATCACCTACTTTCTGAAGAAGAAGAAGAAGAAGAAGAAGAAGAAGAAGAAGAAGAAGAAAAAGAAACAAACAAAAAAGAAAGAAAGAAAGAAAGAAAGAAAGAAAGAAAGAAAGAAAGAAAGAAAATCATCATCGCCTACATTCTGAAGAATCATATAAAATATATGTTATGGTTCTATTACATTTGTTTTAATAATATCATGCCAGGCACTTCGAAAGATTTGTGCATTGCGTTGGAAACATTCGTGACTTTCTTTTATAGAAGAATGTCGCATCCTCAGTGGCAGGATTTTCATGGAATCGTCTTTTGATATTCTGGTAGTATGAGAGATGAAATATTATTTCTAAAATCTTTAAACCAACTATGAAAATAATTGGAGGCGTGCTGGTGCTAGCCGTGGATTTAACAATAACAATACCACTTGATTTGAGTTCAGATGGTTTATTGAATTGAATGTCATATAAGCACTAGATGGATATTTTAACACATTATTGTCCCCCGTTTCCAAAAATAGGTTTTAAAGTGGGACCTCGATAAATATAAGAGAATATTTTCACACAAGAGACATTTAATGTAGAGCGTTAGAGACCGATGAAGTGGCGTGTGTTATTAATTAAAGAGAAGGTGGTATAAAATGCACATTGTGAGAATATGGAAAAATGATAAAGATTGGCCCCTGGAATTGAGAAGGCTAATATTGACGAATTCTGGGAAGCACTCACGCAGGATCATTTTCAACAAAGTGGAATATCTTAAGAAAAAGTTGGGTAAAACATTATTCTCATATTTAGAACTTAGTGGAAATGAAGGTGTTTTTTTTTCCCGCGGAAATAGCATGGCGTAAAATAAAGGTAACAAACGTCGCTATAACATAGCTGCATAACTACATTTGGGTACACAACTATTTCTATTGAGCAGCATATATAGATAGTCTAGCCAAAGCGTAACACACAACGTGTGAAGATCACGTTTAAGCATGAAACAGGCTTTTGCTGTGGGGTGTTAACTTCAATGTCCACTGATAAAACACACACACACACACACACACACACACACACACACATATATATATATATATATATATATATATATATATATATATATATATATATATCAAATATGTGGCGCAGTTCAATTTATATTACAATGCATCAATCATATAAAAAATAAATTAGTAAAGTTAAAATGGTGAAATCTCTTCGCTAAAAAAAATTAAAGATGTATTAACCTACTAATCACTCGATGAATGTCACGATCCTTTTTTTAAATTAAAAGCTGTATTAGATCTTTCTTAAATACGCAAGTAGTTTCGACTATACATTCAGTCATCTTCAGGCATGGAAATTATATTGTTTTGGTAAACAGTTTGTATCCATTATCAATAACACATTTAAAGAAATATTTCGATTTGTATTATATTTTTTCGTCTCGGATGCTACGGAAGATTACTGAAAGTAGTTGCGTATTTAAAAAAAGACCTTGTACAGCTTATAATTTTAAATAACAAAGATCATAGCCTTCATCGAGGGATTAGTCGGTTAGTGCACGTTTAAATTTTTGTTAGCGATGGGATTTCGTCATTTTATATCATTAACTTTACTAATTTACTTTTTGTATGGATGATTCATTGTATATATATATATATATATATATATATATATATATATGTTATATATATATATATGTTGCGGTGGAGTAATTGATAGCGGCTTGAGTCCCAGTCGAATCTATTATATTCAGTTAGGTGTTAATACCCTTGCGAAAGGTATGAATTTTCTTCTTCTCCCTATGGGTCAACAGCAAGACAGACTGGGTTCTATAGCTTTGAATGCCAACTGGTCGAGGAGAAGGACAACTCTGAATTCAAAACCTACGGAATGTCGTTTGGTTCGCTGGTTGCATGTAGTACACCAGGTCTCTGTATTCGGGCCTTCAAAAATTTGGTTTGTTCTGCACAAAGCATCACTATAATTAAATCATATGTTCTTGTGTATGGCTGTTGGTTTCCTAGGACCTGGTCTGATTGACCCTCCTACGTCGAATACAACAGGAGAGTCGAATATATTCACACAAAATTTTCACACAATGTTGGCAACACTTATTTGCGTAATCACTGAAATTTTCGTACTGATCTGCGCAATATAAATAAGCCGGTGCCATATTTGTTATCAGCACGGTGTTTTGAGCGTGCCAAATTATAAGAAAGGTTTAGTAAAATTCCCAGAATTGAGCAAACAAAACGTTTATTAATGTTGCACGTGAATGTTTATGATCAAAAGAAGCTAATAAATAAGATAATCAAACAAATAATAACAAATACAAACAAGGGCATAATTTTAAACAAATTAATAGGGAATGTGATTTCCCTGTTTTGACAGTCCATAGAATTTGTTAATTGTAGGATGTCATCTGCTGTAATGCCACAAGATATGTCAAGAATTGCTTCCCACATCTCAGCGTTGCTCCTGAATTGTCGTCCGTTGGCCTACAGTCTTCGCTTCATGATACTCCAATGGTTTTCGATTGGGTTCAAATCCGGAGAATTTGCTGGCCACTTCATTTTTCGAGGTCCATCGAAGCCTAACTGTTTTAAATATTCAGTAGTCTTGTGAGCAGTGTGTGAGGGAGCATTATCTTGCATAAAAAACAATGGCCCTTCTGAAGGCAACTCTTTGTCTTTTCATCCACGGTTCAAGATGCTCCTTCATAAATGCTATGTATGCATCAGCAGTCATTTTGACGCCATCTGGTACTCTCCTTGGGCCCACTAATGTTTTTCCAATAATACCACCCCAAATCATTATGCCTCCACCGCCTTGTTGGCGTCTCAAACGCTGATGGCGATTCTGTCCGTTCATTACCCAGCCTTTGCAACATCTATCTGGCCCATCAAATGCTCGAGTTTCGTCTGTGAACAAAACTTTAGAGAAGTCAATCTTCATATTTTCCTCGGCCCATTTCAATCGATTTTGAATGTGATTTCTCGTCAAAGGAGGCTTCGATACAGGTTGGTCTGTTGTTGCTATTTCCCTCAGATGCTGACACCGAGTACTTTTAAACACAGTAGGATCCTCAATACGACTGAAAAGGTCTTGACTTGTACAGGGACGATGGGCTAATGGTCATTAGAAACTCAACGAACTTCAAAATAGATAGAATTAGAAAGTTATTATATAAAGAATTTAAAAGCATGGGCTTAAAAATTACAGTTAGTACTAAATTAAAAAAGTAGACTTCCTAGATATAACTTTAGATCTAAATAAAAATACATACACACCTTATAAAAAACCCAACACCAATCCTTTATATATACATCCTAAATCAAATCACCCCCCATCTATAATTAAACATATACCGTTATCTATAAGTAAACGAATTAGTACAAATTCAGCTAATAACAAGATTTTTGATGAGCATATCAATGGCTATAATAAGGCTCTAAAAGATAGTGGCTACAAAAACCCAAAACTAGCGTATATAAAAAATGAAAATGGAAAACATAGAAAAAACAGATGTAGAAAAATTATTTGGTATACTCCCCCATATAACCAAATGGTAAAGAACAGATTAGGACATAAATTCCTCACATTAATAGTCAAGCATTTCCCTTGTGAAAATAAACTAAGTACTATTTTCAATAAAAACACACTAAAAATAAGTTATAGCTGTACAAAGAACTTAGAAAAAATCATTAAGAACCATAATGCTAATATCTTAAATAAACACTTATACCAAAACCAAAAAAAATTTAGACAATAGAAAATTAAGATAAAAACTGATGTAAATAAACAAAAACTATGTAATTGTCGAAACCCTCAAAATTGCCCACTACAAAATAAATGTTGCACTGAATCATTAGTATACCAATGCAATATCTCTTCGATTGAAAATCCTGATAACATAAAAATATATATAGGTTGCACTAGCCATGAATTCAAAAAAGATTCAACCAACATCAAACTTCATTTAGAATAAATAAATATAAAAATCAAACATCTCTCTCAAAATATTTCTGGCATCTAAAAGAATCAAATAAAACACCTACAGTAAAATGGAAGTTAATAAGAAGAGCTAGAATTTGTAGATCATTAAACGACCCGTGTCCTCTATGTATACAAGAGAAACTATATATTACTAAGTTTATAAAAAATAAAAATTTACTGAATCAGAGAAATGAAATAGCTATTATATGCCGTCATTGTCAAAAATTTTCCTTAAATAATATAAAAAAAAAAAAAAAAAAAAGTCTATTGAATGGCAGGAAAAAATGTTTTAAACTGTTATTTAAAATTTAAAATTGTGGTTAAAACGTATTAAAACATAAGCACGGTTTAAAAATTGTAGTTAAATAAAATGTATCCTAACCGAAACACCTCTATAATAAATGTACTACAAACACTTGAATGAATCCGATAAAACACCTCCTGAAAAATGAAATTATAACTAAAGCTAGATGATGTAAGGTAATGTATGACCCATTGTTCTTTGTACATACATATGAAACTTTATTACTCAGGTTACATATATTTAAAATAAATAATTTAATTAATTAATACATAAAGTTTACTAAATCTGAGAAATGACTTAGATAGTTTTGTAGTCTGTGCCATTTATATTACTTAAATATTTAAATATAATAGTTTAAAATTGTAATTTACATATACTTTGTTATGGAAAATAATTATACTTACTATGAGTAATTATCCTTCTGTTATAAAGTAATATAGTCAATTAAAACTAACAATGAAAATATTTTAAAATTTTAATGTGGTAATTTTAAAATTGTAATTAAAATTGTAGTTAAATAAAATGAATTCTAACCTGTTCTTGGTACATACATATGAAACTTTACTACTTAGGTTACATATATTTAAAATAAATAAATAAATTAAGTAATAAATAAAGTTTACTAAATCTGAGAAATGACTTGGCTAATTTTGTAGTAAGTTCCATTAATATTACTAAAATAATATTTTAAAATATAAAGGTTTAAAAATTGTAATTTACATATACTTGGATATTGAAAAATAATTTTACTTACTATGAGTAATATTCCTTCTGTTATAAAGTAATATAGTCTAATATAACTAACAATGAAAATATTTCAAAAGTTTAAAGTTTGTAATTTT